GTTAATTTTAATAGTACAAGGAAAAGTCAATAGACCATTTTTATGTTTAATTTTTTGCTCTACAATTTTTATAAGAAACTTTTTTTTCTGTCTCTTACCCCTTTTGAGTTATATTGAAAAAGCCCTTTATTTTGTATTTTTTCACCCCTGGCCGGGGATTGAAAAAAAAATTACTGTCATTTGTTATTATTATATATTTCAAACTAACTTATATCAAAAGTTCAGGCAGGTTGACCAAAATTGCGATTTAAAGACCCATTTAAATGGATCTATTTCTATTAAAATTTTGTCTGATTAAGACCGGACATAATATTTGCTTACGAAAATTTGCTTTAATTAAATTAATAGTTATTATACTTAGTATCACTTTTCTCCAAATACATATGCCAGTACTCATGCGTCACATCCAAACCACAAATCGATGAAAACTTAATTGATTACCAAGAAACAGGCGAATGCGTAAACAACAGAACTACGCGGAAAACATGCTTACGTATAATACTCATTCCTTTGAAAAATCGATATTAATACGACTACACCCGTTTCAGAATAAATTCACTGAAAAATATTTATGTATATATTATTCCGACGAAATTGGTCTGATTTTTCCATTACTCACTTAAGTCTTACAAACACCCTGTGTAATTTTATGTCAATATGTATATTTGTGATTTAACAATAAATTATTCTTTCAATGCAATTACTAGAATTTACTGCTTTACGAGAGCATCTACAATTAATTACAACAAATTGAATTTCACAATGAATATACCAAATAAAAAAAATAAATAAACAAAAAACATGACCTCAATAATTCATTTTTTTCACGGTTACAGCTAGATGACATAGAAATTTGCCTTACAAATTGAAAAATAATTCAATGTATTCCTTACTTTTACAAAAAAATTATTTTAAAAATTTAATTTCCTTTTTGGTAAACAAAAATTGGGATAGACGTTTCCAAAGCAAGAGACAGGGGAACTTAGTTTTAAGGTAACGATCGTACTTGGAATAATCCCTTTTTTGGGAGACCAGTTTTCAAGCAAAATATTTGTTTGAGTGGATAATAAATAGATAAAAATGGGATAATAACTACGAAAATTAAAATTAAAGAACTGTATATGCTACAGAAATTATAAAAAATATAATATACAGGGCATTAGAAATTTGACTGCCTTAAATTTAACAGACGATAGAATACATTAAAATTAACCAAAAAAAAAACGTATATGACCTGGGTCCTAAACTCAACCATTTCCAAGAAAAAAAAGTGTCAAAATCTCCATCCTGATGTACAAAAGTTTGATTAATTAAGGAATATTGACATAACTGCGTGCACAGAATACCATAAAATACAATGTTTATCACTTTTTTTAACTTATTTATGCTTAATTCAAAAAAATATTAGCGTAATTAATTTAAAATTTTATAAAATTCATATTGAGCCGGAGCGGCGGTTTATTAACATGAGGTACTAAGGTGTTCAGCAATCACCAATACGCAGTTCAGTTGGTATCTGAATTCGACCGTGTCGGAGTGTTTTTTGCGTACCACTATTTCCTTTTCTTGGGGTGTTTTCCAGCGAGTGCGCGAAAATTGGATTAGGTGTCGTGCGTGCATAGAAAATGGTGATGGGCATTTTGAGCACATGTTGTAGCTTGTTTTGTACTTGTGCGTTTAAAAATTACTGAATTTTGCTTTTTGGTAAGTACCAAAATTATTTTTAATACGTATGATTATTTAGACGACGTGAATCTTTGGGTACTTTAGTTACATATTTTTCAAATACATAATTTGATTAAAAGTTAAGTTCCTATTTTCATAATTACTAAAATTCGAGCTAAAATGTAAGGGCAACACTATCTTCTTACTATAAAATCGATACATTTTATTTTATTTATTTAAAAACTGGAAAACCATTTACTAAATGTTTCACAATAGTTCCTTACATTTTTTCCGTAGGACAAGTCTGCCGCGTGCACACACGTTGAAAGAAAAAATGAGAATAGACCTATTACGGAAGGGAATTTTAGAGATTTAAAGCGAGAGAGATTTATTATACTGATAACGAAACTGAATAAGTAATTGAATACATTTTTATACATATTTACTATACCAAATCATGATTACCTATAGGTATAGTAATCACGATTATTTTATTGTGTATTGTCGGGATTATCTTCAAAATAAACTTGTTTTTCTAATTATAACCCTAATCATAAATATTTTATTACTCGTGTATTGTTGTGATTACCTTCTATCTAAACTTAGTTTTTTAATTATCGACGCGATATACGACAAATACAATTTCCTTTGTTAATTCGAAAGGTCCTCTCGATAAGTACAAATCAATTATTGCATACATCTGTGAATGTATTTTCGAAATGCCGAAACGAAAAGTATTTATTTTGCAAGCAGTACTTTGATCTAACTAATAACTTTTAAAAAGTGAAATATTTTTATTTAAAAGAAAGTAACAGCTTGACCAAATGTATCTTTTCCGCAAGTTTCAGATGCGCAATTGCCAGATCAGCACCAGAGCTCATTCTCTGTCTAAACGTCGAATAGTGAACGTCGGTCTTCTGTCTTTATCAGTCATACTGCTGACTCTCTTCTTGATCTGCGTATTTCGCGCGTGGATCTTGGTCTAGCTGTATAAATTATCTCACGGACAAAATGATCTTGTCCTAGCTGTATTAATTATTACACATATTTTTATGTTACATTGGTAGGTGCCTATAAAATTTGACTTCACACAACACTTTTTAATCAAATTTTAGGATAGAAAAAAAACTAAAACGGCACCGTTTGAAGCTTCTTGGAATTTCTAACGTTGCAAACATCAAGATTTATTCAAGTAATACATTCAATGTGTTTATAGTTTGTTATTAGATTGGCGTTACTAAAAAAAAGAGTCCGTTATGGTTACGAATGTTGTGATTTGTATAGTAGGAAAATTAAAGGTTTTCTGCATTCTGTTGAATTTAGACGGTGATTCAGTCATAATGTCATGAATTTTAAGGGAAGGTAGTGGAAAATGATTAAATAGGAATACGCGATTAAAAAAAAATTAAACGTATATTTACGCTGAAAAAATTTTTTTCAAATCATTATTTAAACCCGTTTTTGGACAGCTCATGACCGCCGACCCACCAAGATTAATCGAGAGTAAATCTTGACCTACTGTAATATTATTCGATTACTAACTTGGTTTTGCCTAAGGATAATAATTGGTTTCGAATTTTAGGTTATGCAATTTAATATTTTTAATATTGTTAACGTTTGTACTATATTTTATAATTGAATATGAGTTTATAGTATTATATTCAATGTTCAATTATTAATTATTCTGTTTGTAGTACGTATACCTAATGACTGATTGCTTTTCAAAGAGTAGTATGGCACCTACCTAGTTAAAATGCCAGTACGGCTAAAACAACACTCATCCGTCCAAAGCACTTTGTTAAAAAAAATAGATCCACTTCTTATTTGTAGAAGGGCGAAATCGGCGGTGACTATTAGACTGTATATTATGTAACGAGTGTCAATAACTAAATAACACAAAGACTATTATTGGCTGTAAAGAAAGAATCCGATTAATCGGATACTTGAATGAACCGATTATCGAATAATCGAGTATTTGAATAGTCGGATATTTGAAGAATCGAATAACCGGTTTTTAGGTTTCGTAAAATTCCGAATTATCCGAAACCGGTTAACCGACTATCCAAAAAACCGATTTCAGTTGCCAGCACTAATTTTAACAGTACAGTGGTAGTTTCTTATTTATATTTCTTCAAATATGCTTAATTTTATGATCCTGGTGCGATAAAAGTAGAAAAAACAAAAACAAACAAAAAAAAGAAAAAATAATAATAAACAGAAAAACAATCGTTTTAAAGATTGCTACCTTGTCGCGGTAAAAGGGCTTAAGTCTTATATAAATAAAGATAACGAAAGATTTTGAGTTTTTAGCTGAAATTGTTGAAATTTTTATAATTTATCAAATGAATATCCACTTATTTTTGGTAGATTTGAGAATAAATTTCAAGGGTTTGTGGCTTCAGAAATACAAAATATTAGCTCCAGAATAGAGTTTTCAAGGAGCCGCATTCTTTGGTTTGGAAAATATCTTTCGTTTGACTTTCTTGCTGAGATTTCTTGAATTTGAGGTTAGATATTTAAGAATAGAGGTAGAAGCTTCAAAAATAAAAAATATAAGTTCCAGAAAATAGTTTTCAAGGACTTGTATGCTTTGGTGTGGAACATATACATTCTACGAATTTCTAGCTCAAGTTTACAGAATTTGAAGTTGGGTTTTGAAGGTTTGGGATTAGGTTTTGAAGGGTTTGAGGTTAGGTTTTTAAGGGTATAGGTTTATGGCTTTAGAGTTAGGAAATATAAGCTCAAAAATATAGTTTTCAAGTGCATACTTATACCCATAGATTTAGAAAAGAGTCAGTGTATTACTTTGAGGTTAGGTTTGTTTTTTGGTTCAAGTTTAAGATTGAAAAGCTACACGATTATTTTCGTTGTTTAATCAACCTCAAATCAAAATTTTGGATTTTTTTATTATTAAATACCGAATTATTTTCTTTGGTGTCTATTTAAAATAATCCTATGTAGGTATCGCACCAGGATTATATAATTAAGCAAATTTGAAGAACAACAAAGAAATTATCATTGTACGACTGCGGAAATCAGCTGTTTCTCTTCAATGTTCGAACGCTCCGTGGTCCTCTGGCGCGTTTCCGGTCACGGTGCTGAATTAGCGGTAGTTGAGGGATAATTTGCTTATCTTTTAAAAGTTCGAGTAGATTGTTTTTTCAATTTCTCTTTATTAGGCCTTCCGAATACATAGTTAAAATTAATGACATTATGACTGAATCACCCTGTATAACGCCAGCATATCTGCGATCACTGTGGTGACATAATAATATTTTCAAATTCTCAAAGTGAATTCAAAATGTTCTGTACAAAGGTATGTAGGTACTACTTACTCGCAAATATCCTTCTTGGTTAGATAACCAGAACTAGGTTTGAATATCCTTCCTGAGCAAGTGCTTAATTTGGACGTAACGTCGCCTCGGCACTGTTCATTCTGTGGGCTGAACAAACCTAAAAAAAAAACATTGTATGAAATATAAATCAATATACCAATTTGTAACAGCGTTGGGTTAAATTTTAATCCTAAAGATCTGATGGTGAATGAAAAAGTCTAAAGATGATTTTAGATACCTATATGCAGGGTGTTGCAAAATGTTGTTCATAGAATTCTAGAGCAGATTCTACATCTAAAAATACTAAAAAATTCCTATAAACGTAGGTCCGTAAATGCTTCGTTTTCAAAAAAAAAATAAAATGATTTTTGTTTCTAAATTTTTCTTCTTAACTTTATATTAACGAAATTATTATATTATTTTTTCAGAGAAAAAATTTTTAGTTTTTCCACAAAAACTAAGCAAGAAAGACAAAAAATGCAAGAGAAAAAAAATTGTATTTTTAATTACTCAATTTAAAAATACCTAATATCAAACTTATAAAAAACTGTAATACCTAGTGCCGCCCTTGAAATAATTAAATTAAATCTAATTACACCAAATTGAGCCCCTTAATTAATACTAATTATTTGCCAAATTTTTTCAAAATCGACCAAAGGGTTTTGAGATATTTTAAAAAAGAAGGTTTTTTTTTTATCAACTTTAACATTCTGTTCTGCGAAAACGAAACTTTAAAACATACAAGTTCATACACACAACTTTTTTTGCGACTTACGAGTAGGGTTTCTGGTCGAGACTTCTCGAAGCGAGAATTCCCGGGAAATCTGGCCTTACTCGAGACGAGAAAAAAGTGTTAAGAAATCGAGAAATTTAAAAATCACGCGCGTCTTAAGTTCTTGATTAGAGTTCGTTTCGTTCATGCGTTTAATTCGTTTCTCGACAAATAACTGAGCGGTTAAAGTGGTTTCTCGACTAGCTCATGATTTATTTATTTTAAGTTTTTAAGGCTTTAACTTACTTTGACGATTCTTATTTTTTTAATGTACCTTGTTATAAGTCTGTGTAGAAACTTTATTATAAGCAGATACCTAATGTTGATGTTGATTCTGAAAATATTTAGTTCCTGTTCCTTTAGTTGATTATTTTATTTTTGTTTTGTTAATTAAAAGATTGTGATTATAAGTGATAATTAATAGGAAGAACGCTTCTATATCTTTAAATTAAAGCTTGTTTTTTTTTTAAGATTTCTTCGGTTAAATTCCTTATTTACTATTTGTTAAATTAAAAGACTGCATGATTAATGATTATTGGAAGAAAGCTACGATTCAAAAACATTGAAATAAACATAAGTCTAATGAAAGTGTCTAATAAAAGAACAAGTTAAAAGTTTTTAAGAAGAAGATACTCAAAGTTTAATTTAGTTTTGTTAGTAGAAGCAGAAACATATAAGTAATTAATAAAAATACTGAATAAATAATAAATGTTGATGATGACAGTTAAGTATAATAGCATGTTTATATTTCGCATTGCAATACCAAAATTATGACTTTTTTAAGTTTTAGAAATTTCTCGAGAATTCGAGAATTCCCGAGAATTCCTAGTCGAGAATTCTCGAGTCCCGAGAAAAAAAGTAGGCCGAGAAATCAGAAACCCTACTTACGAGCGTCTATTCAATTTTTCCCGATTGAAACCTGATGCACTATATAGTTGCAGCTGCTTGAATGTAATCAAAATATAAATCAAATGAAAACTTAATTTAAGATCCTGCCCTGTATATTTTGTTAAAGACAATCAGAACAATCTACAGTAGCATAGTTCAGTATTTTTTGTAATTAGTACTTTTCGGAAATACATACAGGGTACTGAAAATTAAAATTTTAAATCGTTTTTTTGCGATTATTCTGAAAATATGTAGGTTAGGAACATGAACATTTGTGAAAGTATATTTTTTTAGGCGACGAATAAGATGCATGTTGTAATTTCAGCATTGCTCATAGAGGACGCCACTTACGACCAATTTTACCGAAAATTTAGTTTTTAACTTTTTACCCTGTATGTCTAACATGACATTTGATTCAAAACCTGAAAGAGCAATCATTATCCCATTAACTGTGTATTCTTGTTTCATTTTGGTATCTCGATCCGTTTTCGAGAAAAGTCGATTTAACGAACACTATGTTTTGATAATACGAGAAATTAAAAGCGAAACAAACCAAGTGTTTCTTCGTGTTATTACAACAATTAACAATAAAACAAAAAATGAAATTCGTAATAATGATTTAAAGTCAGTGTTTGAAGAATCCAACGCAAAGTTTGAGTACCAGTTTCCGATGTCAATTATTGCGAAAGGGATAAATAAAAGGGATATCTTGTTTACTAATATTATCACAACATGGCATTTTGGAGGCCTTTTGAAACGGAACAAAACGAAATTTACCACCAATATAATAAAATTGTTTGAGGACATAAATAATTAAAATATGTTGTTGGCCAAATGAACATATAATAGAAATTTTCTACACATTATATATAAATTATTATAATTTTTTACCTTTAGCAGAAAACTTTTTTAGGGGCGCATATGAAACTCATTAAATTTTATTGCCAGGCGCTTTTTTGCATGTTCAACTGACTTCGGAATGATCATAGCACAAAATTTTAGGCAAACTCTTTCAATAACATTATCCATTTTTTTTTTGGTAATAAACACTAATATCTACTTCTAATGCATATTAGTATGGTAATGGAACTATTTAAAAAATACATTTTAATTGTCGAACACTTTCCGATCTGGTCGAAACATCATCCGCTAAAAATTCTTGAAATTTCGATTTTACGCTCAATGCAATCATTAATCAAGAGCTACGAATAAAGAGAATTACTTTATTTGTAGCATCAGAGATCTCGCAAAAAAGCGATAACCTTTTTCTACTCACGTTTCGTATATTCTCCGTTGTTGTGGCACAGGAAATGAAGAAATTCTCCAAAACTAATCTTCAAAAACTCCGACATATACTTTTCCTGGGGAGATAGACACGGTTCCATGTATTTGACAACTGTGTGGAATTCATTGTTAATCTGGCGCCTTTCGTGTTCGCAAAAGTCCTTTCTCCTGTCGGGTATCATAGCGGAGATACGTTGAAGGTACCCTTCAAACTTCGAGAACTCATTGCTTAGATTTGTATAATGCATATGGTCGTGGGTTTGGCCGTAGCATTTGTTGCTGAAATACTCTTTTATTTTGTGGGTGTTGCTTAGCTCATTTTGGCAGTTTCCAAGGGCTGAAACAATATAGAATTTTTAATAAAAAAAATGTGTAGAATAAAATCGTTAGAAAATCTTAAACCCTAAAATAAGCTTTGCGAATTGAATAATGGATAAGTGAAGACAAAAATGTAATCAAATTCCAAGCTTAATAAAAATTATTTTGCTAACACGATTTTACTACTCAAGTCGATGCCTTACTACACTAGTCCAAGAGAATTAAGCTCAAAACCTTCGAGATATGGCTGTTGCTTGACGTAGATTAAATATTAGTAAAAATCGGTCGAAAATAATATAAACAATGAAAATATAAGGTTGCGCCAAGAAAAAAAGTTGTGCTATTCGCAGAAAAAATTAAAAACTGCAAAAATACTCAAAAATCACGTGTTTTTCCTAACATTTTCCAATATAACTTCTTAAATATGCAGTTTACAGAAAAAACTATTACTGCTGAAATTGTTTGTTATGAAATTTGCTATAAGACACAATTGTTTTGAGACCTGCGTATTCAATATTTTTGTTGCTAGAAAGCCAAAACAGCGTAAGAAAGTGATGAAAATCGAGGTAATTTTGAAGCGTTCAACTGATAGGTAAGAAATTGTCCAATTCTACTATAAATGTACATGTAAGTACTTTAAAGGATTACAAAACGAAATTCCAAAACCCGATCGAAATCGGTCTGATAGTTTTGGTATGAGACAATTTGTTACTAAATTTCAGCGCGAAATGTCGTTATTTTTTTGCGTCAGTGCTGGGGTTAAAGTTAGGCATTTTAATTGGCGCTGATTTTTTTACACATACTTGGACTCTTTAACTATCATATAGAATCGTTATAATATTAATTTTCTTTTTTTTAATAATTTTTGGAGCGATTTTAAAAATTCGAAAAATTTTAACTTTATAAACAAATACTTTCGTGAAGCCGTTTTGCGGGTTGGAATATATACCAAAGTACTAAAAAATAGTTCTCGGAAAGACGCTTAACTTGAAAAAAAGAACGTTCAAATCGGTCACATAAGTTCCGAGATATCAAGTGTCAAAGTCAACAAGCGTTAGCTGCAAAACTATGCATAATGTAACAACAACAAAAATTGAATTTGGTAGGTTTTTTAAGAACTTTTCGTATGTGCTTTTATAAATATTATCGCACGTGTGCTTTTTATATGAAAATTCAATGAATATCGCCAAACCGACCATTTGAGCCGCAAAACCGGGGGGAGGGGATGAATTATAGAAATTGAAATCGCGTTCAAAAAGAGCGCGCGCGCTTCGGCGTTCAGTATCTCGGCTTCTATGGCTCCGATTTTGATGATTTTTTTTTAAATCGATGTAGAAAAATGAGAGGAATTCAATTATCAAGGTTTCATTAAAATATTATAAAGCCCTTTTCGGTCTATTACGACTAAAAATTTTCCACATTTCGTTGTTATACTGTATATTCATGTAAATAATAATATCGATGGTAGGATATAGGTACATAATCCACTGTTACTAGGTTTTAGTTTTAATAATTACATGGTAATAATGTTTAAATAAAATCTTGAAATCTTTATTTAATATGTAATTTATTTATTGTATTCATATAATATAGAAAAAAATATAGATACAAATAATTATTTATTTATTTTTACAAAACGTGTTTATTATACTTTCATAATTATCGTATTATTAAAGTTTTTCACTTTTTTACATCATTGGTATTTTCACTTATAATATCAGCATTTGAATAAGTATTGTTGTCCATTATTTTCAAATCAGTGCTTAACTAATTGTAAGTAGGTACCACTGTTAAATTAACAGCAAATAATGACTTATGGTTGGTTAATTTGATTTTTTAAATTTGCCAGCAATTTCATAGCCATCCTCGCAAGAAATTGGATCATTTTATTTATCACAAAATCCGTCAAAAACAGAAAAATTAAAAGATAGGTATAGGGAGGTGTAATATGGATAGATGTGGAGTAAATTTCTACAACAGATTTTTATTAAATATACAGGGTGTCCCATTTAGAAAAACCAAGTTTTGGCGGTTCGGTCAATCAAATTCGACAATAAATATGAAATTGAAATAGGTCGAAGACCATTAGACCATTAGAGATACATATAGGGAAGCTTTATAAAAGTCCTCTAAAAATATGCGTAGAATTCAAATATACAAAAATATACAGGATGTTCCATTTATAATAAGCAAATAGGTGGCGACTACCGGTATAACCGGAAGTACTACAACAATGGCATTATTTTATTTAAACTCTAAATAAAACCTCCAAAACCACCAGGTCAAAAATTTTCAAAATTCAAATCGAAGTAGTCTCCGAAATATTCTAATGGGTCGTCACCGCATGACAGCCTGTATAATGAATTGCAAAGTGCGATTTTTAATTGTTTACTAAAGGAAGAAATTTTTGAGAGCGAAATCAGCAACTATGCTATAAAAAAGCTTAATACATTTTTTAATAATGCGATGATACGTTTTATAAATATCAAATAATAATTATTTGTATCTGCATTTTTTTCTATTTTATATGTAAACAATAAATAAATTACATTAGGACATAAAAATTTCAAGATTTTAAACATTATTACCAAGTAGTTATTAAAATTAATACCTCTTAACAATAGTCATCGATATTATTTACATGAATATACAACAATGAAATGTATGAAATTTTAAGCAGTCGTAATAGGCTGATAAGGCTTTATAATATTTCAATGAAATCTTGATAATTGAATTCCTCTCATTTTGCTATATCGATTTAAAAAAAATCATCAAAATCAGAGCCGTAGAAGCCGAGATATTGAACGCCGAAGAGGGCGCGCTCTTTTTGAACGCGCGATTTCAATTTCTATCATTCATCCCCTCCCCCCGGTTTTGCGGCTCAAACGGTCGGTTTGGCGATATTCATTGAATTTTCATATAAAAAGCACACGTGCGATAATATTTATAAAAGCACATACGAAAAGTTCTTAAAAAACCTACCAAATTCAATTTTTGTTGTTGTTACATTATGCATAGTTTTGCAGCTAACGCTTGTTGACTTTGACACTTGATATCTCGGAACTTATGTGACCGATTTGAACGTTCTTTTTTTCAAGTTAAGCGTCTTTCCGAGAACTATTTTTTAGTACTTTGGTATATATTCCAACCCGCAAAACGGCTTCACGAAAGTATTTGTTTATAAAGTTAAAATTTTTCGAATTTTTAAAATCGCTCCAAAAATTATTAAAAAAAAGAAAATTAATATTATAACGATTCTATATGATAGTTAAAGAGTCCAAGTATGTGTAAAAAAATCAGCGCCAATTAAAATGCCTAACTTTAACCCCAGCACTGACGCAAAAAAATAACGACATTTCGCGCTGAAATTTAGTAACAAATTGTCTCATACCAAAACTATCAGACCGATTTCGATCGGGTTTTGGAATTTCGTTTTGTAATCCTTTAAAGTACTTACATGTACATTTATAGTAGAATTGGACAATTTCTTACCTATCAGTTGAACGCTTCAAAATTACCTCGATTTTCATCACTTTCTTACGCTGTTTTGGCTTTCTAGCAACAAAAATATTGAATACGCAGGTCTCAAAACAATTGTGTCTTATAGCAAATTTCATAACAAACAATTTCAGCAGTAATAGTTTTTTCTGTAAACTGCATATTTAAGAAGTTATATTGGAAAATGTTAGGAAAAACACGTGATTTTTGAGTATTTTTGCAGTTTTTAATTTTTTCTGCAAATAGCACAACTTTTTTTCTTGGCGCAACCTTATATTTTCATTGTTTATATTATTTTCGACCGATTTTTACTAATATCTAATCTACGTCAAGCAACAGCCATGCCAATGTGTAATTCTCCTGGACTATTAATATTTGGGAATTTTTGGAGCAATTTTAAAAATTCGAAAAATTTTAACTTTATAAACAAATACTTTCGTGAAGCCGTTTTGCGGGTTGGAATATATACCAAAGTACTAAAAAATAGTTCTCGGAAAGACGCTTAACTTGAAAAAAAGAACGTTCAAATCGGTCACATAAGTTCCGAGATATCAAGTGTCAAAGTCAACAAGCGTTAGCTGCAAAACTATGCATAATGTAACAACAACAAAAATTGAATTTGGTAGGTTTTTTAAGAACTTTTCGTATGTGCTTTTATAAATATTATCGCACGTGTGCTTTTTATATGAAAATTCAATGAATATCGCCAAACCGACCATTTGAGCCGCAAAACCGGGGGGAGGGGATGAATTATAGAAATTGAAATCGCGTTCAAAAAGAGCGCGCGCGCTTCGGCGTTCAGTATCTCGGCTTCTATGGCTCCGATTTTGATGATTTTTTTTTAAATCGATGTAGAAAAATGAGAGGAATTCAATTATCAAGGTTTCATTAAAATATTATAAAGCCCTTTTCGGTCTATTACGACTAAAAATTTTCCACATTTCGTTGTTATACTGTATATTCATGTAAATAATAATATCGATGGTAGGATATAGGTACATAATCCACTGTTACTAGGTTTTAGTTTTAATAATTACATGGTAATAATGTTTAAATAAAATCTTGAAATCTTTATTTAATATGTAATTTATTTATTGTATTCATATAATATAGAAAAAAATATAGATACAAATAATTATTTATTTATTTTTACAAAACGTGTTTATTATACTTTCATAATTATCGTATTATTAAAGTTTTTCACTTTTTTACATCATTGGTATTTTCACTTATAATATCAGCATTTGAATAAGTATTGTTGTCCATTATTTTCAAATCAGTGCTTAACTAATTGTAAGTAGGTACCACTGTTAAATTAACAGCAAATAATGACTTATGGTTGGTTAATTTGATTTTTTAAATTTGCCAGCAATTTCATAGCCATCCTCGCAAGAAATTGGATCATTTTATTTATCACAAAATCCGTCAAAAACAGAAAAATTAAAAGATAGGTATAGGGAGGTGTAATATGGATAGATGTGGAGTAAATTTCTACAACAGATTTTTATTAAATATACAGGG